AGAACGCAGCAGCGTGTCTGGTTTTTGATCAGCCCAAAAGGACGTATTTCACCCCATTGCTGTGTGATCTCCACTTGCTACCCATGGCCTCCAGAATCAGATTCAAGTCACTAATGCTTGCATACAGAGTGACTATGGGGTTTGCACCCATCTACCTAAACTTCATAATACAAGTTCATGTTCCTTCTCGGCCGCTCCTGCAACGAACGCCGCCTGGCTCTGCCATCCCTTCCACAAAGCAATCCCAGTCCCGGCTGATCGCATCTGTTACACCACGATGGTGGAACGAGTTACCACATGCCATCAGTGCAGGGGCGTCCCTCTCTAACTTCAAGAAGCTCTAGAAAACTCATCTCTTCTGAGAACACTTCCTCTTATAACACCTCTAACTCCTAACATCTAACATCCACATCCTGTGCTCTTCTTCTTCTATCCCCTACCTTGTATTGATTGCACTTTTTGTGAACTCTAACTTCTTTCCCTAGCTATTTACCCCATTGATGCAATATGTGCCATTAGTGCTTACTAGTATTTATTGCTGCTTTTATTAATATGTATTGTCAGTTGCAGATCTCGTGCAGTATTTTATGCTCTGTTAATGATTGTATGTTGTTCCTCAAATGTAAGTAGCTTTGGATAAAAGCGTCTGCCAAATGAGTAAATGTAATGTAATGCTGGTATTGCACAATATCCCCAGCACAGAGGCCGCCTGCAACCCTCTAATTATGACAGCCAGGCTTTATCCCCCAAAACAAAAAGCTCAGAATTGGGTTTATTGTTATTGTATTAACTTACCAAGATATCTTTGCACATAAAACAAATAATATAAAATAAATGCAAATAAAAAGCAAATACTGTGACCACAACTCTACTGTACACTAGCAATGTAATGTCTAATATAATAATAAAGTTAAAATCTTGCAAAATTTCTCAGAATGTAATGACAGAATAACAGCGGTAGGAACTACTACACTGCCGTTAGCGCTGGATTGGCTGCAGTGGTCTGCGTGTCTGAGGGCTGGCATTTGTAGTAAAACTGCCAATATTCGACATCTACACAGTTGATTTCTCAAACCTTCTCAGAAGTGGATTTAGTGATGAAACAACGTACAAAAATAGTACAAAACGTTCTGTTGTTTGCCTCTCTCTCAGATTCTTTCAGCCCCTTGCTTGAATGCCGAAATGAAGTTTACACAAGTTACCAACCAGTGCATCAATTTTTAACCATTCTTGCCAAAATGCAAACTTGTGCCGACTTATTGTTGGATTTAAGGTGTGGCTCCAAGAGGCTTATTTTTAAGTCCAGAGATGATACATTAGTCTCTCATATTTCGTACAGATAGGTAAAATGTACGGCAGGGGCTGCTTTGTTGAAATTTTGTAGGGGGCACTATTGAGCCAATCTTACACAACCACAGGCCCAAATCGGCAACAGAGTTAGACGAATTGTGAAAAGCTTTACAATTTAGCATCGAGTAGGTCTTTAGATTGCACTACTCATATTTGATGTTGATCAAAGAAATTCTCTGGGAGGAGTTTGTTAAAGTATGTTGCGTGTAAATGCCAAAAACAATAATATTCGAATAAAAATGGCTGACTTCCTGTTGGGTTTAGGGTATGGCTCCAAGAGACTTTTTTATAGAAGAAGTCTAGAGATGTTGCATCTGCCCTCGGAATTTCATATGTCTCTGTAAAACGTACAACAGGGGCTGCTTTGTTGAAATTTTGTAGGGGCGCTATTGAGGCCATTTTCCACAACGACAGCCCCAAACCATATAAGACAATAAAAGACAAAACATTCTGAGTATCCCTAGCCATGTGAAGGCTAAAAAGCCAACGTGCAACGTCCAATTCCAAAAATGACTCAAATTGAAACATTACTAGTTCAAGTGTGGCTGCAAAGTTTTGTGACATCTGTTTAAAATAATTAAAATGACGCAGGAAGTGCAAGATAGTTGACTTCCTGTTGAGCAAAATCTCATAAAAGAAACAGAAATGTGTTCTTTATAATGAGTGCCAGATCTCAAGAAGAGCCAAGAAACATGTGTGTGTTTGGGGGCGCTATTGAGCCCACTGGCCACACTCGACTCCATTTACCGCACCATACCATAGGTGTGTGCAAATTTTCGTGAGGATGAAATGAGTTTCCCGTGGAGAAAAAAAAAAAAATCCAAACAAACACCATTTGTACCCTGGCACCATCGTGCTCGGGGCCTACTAATAATAGACACCTGCAGCAATCCCCACATGTACATGCATGCAGTTCATACTGTATAAATTCATAGATTTACTGTGTCCAAAAATTTTTTGAATCAGAATGAAAACAAGGAAACATATATCAATAAGTACTTGATAAGTAACTACATAAAGAATATAAAAGAACACTACTGGGATTGAAAAGTCTGGCATGCATGAGCAGCCCTGTGGCAAACCATTAATATAACTTGTAATTTTATTCAGTAAGAGATACCATTGACTCAGAGTAGGTACAGTGTCTGTTCCAGTGTCCAGTGTTATACTATTAAATTTCTGCCCAATATAAAAGCTGTCTGAACTCATTCATCAACAAACTTAGGCTAAGGCGGTAAAATGGCCCTGTTCACAATATCTCAATGGCTTGTGAAGGTTTTGAATGTAGCAAGGACGATAATAGAAAAGAAGAAAGCAATTTAGGCTGAATTGGAATTACCTAAATGGTATAAAGACATATAAATCTATAAGAACACAGGTTAAGGAGAGTTGAGTGTAAGAGCAGCATAGACTTCTCTTCATATCTTCGGGTTCTGTTTTTTGTGTGTTTTTCTTCTTAGCCCTTGGGCAATACTCCAGCCATCCCTGGGGTAATGCCCATCCCTCCATTCACTCCTGTACCCCCCCCCCCCCAACACACACACACACACACACACACACACACACACACACACACACATACACACCCCACCACCACTCACACCCTCTGGAGTCACGCGTGCAGACAGTGGCAGGCAGGGTGGAGCGGGGGCCTGGGCTAAAGGGGGGCATGGGAGACTTGCAAGGGTGTATGACTTTGAGACTGTACCGTCACACACGGGTTTGATTGGCCAAGTTGCCGGGGAACCGTCAGAAGTGATTAGTGTAGCAGAGGATCTGCCCTGCGGCTTTCCCCTCTCTGGAGCAGAAGAAAGAGGAATGAGGAGAGGAATGGAGGTGGACCAGGTGGGGGGTGGAGGGGAGACCAGCGTGCCTTCCCTAGATAAAATTAGGCTGTACAAATCCTGTTTGTTCTTTTTTTTTCGTTTTTCTTTCGTTCTCTAACTTTTTATGATGATTTTGTTACCTCATATGAACTATATCTTTATGATCTGAAGATGAAAAATACTACAGTAGCACTGTTTGTTATTGATAGCCTGATAATTGTAGAGAGCCTGGTAATCAGACTGAATTGTCGTTTGGTTAATCTTCATTCAGTCAGCTTGGCACTGTGTTCATCGTAGGTTATTTCTTGATGGGAATTGGGGTTATTTTGTTTTGTTTTGCCCTTTTGAGCCCTACCCAATGAGGACAGACTGACAGAACAGAGACTGATGTGGGGTAGTGGTTGCTAAAAGCTGTCAATATTTTTTTAGGATTGTTAAACAAATTTGTCGATTTAAGAGTTGCTAACTTTCTAAGTTGCAATGCCTTTCTGTATGTTTATGTACATTGATGTAGCTATATAGTTGGTAATGTGAGAAGATGACACCCCATGTCTCCAACCATTTAAAAAAAGTTACAGAAACTGTAAACACAAACGCCACCCATGGGAACCTTTCAGAAAGAAGTACCTTAACCGGCAGACTGTAGGAGAAGTTAAGGACAAAGCAATGTAAAGAGTAGAGGAAAGACACAGTGTGAACCCTGTACCCTGTCCATGACTCAGAGCTGGACACCATCCGTCAAAACTCCCACAACCCCCAGGGCCCCCTGACTCTAGAACACTTCCTTTTTAATGTCAATATTCATTAGCTGAAATATTTATGCATGAATATGGCTCATATAGGCGCGTTTGATTGATGCATCTCTAAAAACAAAAAGACATGCTAGGGCAAATCTTAAGAAAGTAGGGTTCCTGTCCTGCCTCAGGGGAGGAGTCTCTCAGATGCATTATTCACATGCCCTCCAGGCAGGCTTTCAAGGCTTCTCTGCCCCGAGGGCAAGAAAAATAACCACCACTGTTAAAAGTAAATCATCTTGGCTGATGCACAATTAATGGCAGCGAGGGAGTGGGAGTGGAGTGCACCTTGTGTTGTGAAATGGTGTGAGTTAGCTAGCAGCGGCGGAAAACTCAGTTTAAAGGAAGCCTCCTGCCTCGATCCACACCAGCTTCCTGCTGAAATCAAACAGAGATGCTGCTGATGGCAGGATCCAGAAACTGGCATGACGCTTCACTGCAGACAATCCACCACAGACGTTGTCAGTCAGGGTTGGGGTTAAAGAGGCCGGGGGTCAGTCCGTGAACACATGGGAACGCAGGGGTGATGGCTTCACGCCCTATTAACCCACCCACCCACACCTAGCTCATTCTCAGTACCCCAAATGAAAACCTCATTTCTGACTTTAAACAGCACCGGGTTTGATGTTATTGGTTTACACTGTATTCACAGGCTAGACTTTTGTTTTTTCTTCCTTTTACTTATAAGGAAATCATTAGTCTTATTTCAAACAGAGGTCACATATAAAAGAGTACATAGCACGGAGTCCAACTGCAGTTTGAACGTTCATTATTTCATGTCAGGCTAGCAGCTCCCGCAGCCATTACCTCATGTCAAACGCGTGGCACAGATTGAATTAATAGCTCTCACACTACAAACTCCTCTTCATTATCCAGCGGCCAGGGAGTCGAAGAATCTTGGGGAAATGTCATCTTTCTCTGTCTGCTTTTTTGCAGCACATTTTCATAGAAGAGCATGAAGGTGACAGGGCCAAATTAAAAACTTTCTTGTAATGTGAATCCTTATGTCTCTGAATGTATCTGATCACAGGAGATGGCCTCGACAACAGCTTGGCATCACCAGGCACGGGAGACGAGGATGACCAGGACAAAAAGAGGCAGAAGAAACGAGGCATCTTCCCCAAAGTGGCCACAAATATAATGAGAGCATGGCTCTTCCAACATCTTACGGTAAGGGAATTTACCGTAAATGGTTTTTCTATACAAGCCACATCATGTGACTTTTTTCAAACTCAAACCCTTTTCTTCTTTGTAATGTTACATTGACTTCACTTAATGCTTGATATGAATGTTGTATAATCCCAGCTCCTACATCAGGCAAAAGGCCCAGGAATGAGCTCAGGCTAGATCTCCCAAAGGCATCTTGAGACTAAGTTCATCTTAGAGAGAAGAGAATGGAGCAAACACAAACTCAACCCTTTTTGAAATACCAGTCCAGGGTTTGTACAGAAATCAACATCAGAAACCTTCCGTTCAGAAGAAGCAGCACTGTTTTGGAGCTTTGTAAGAGGGGTGAGCAAGTCTCTATGAGGAGAGCATTACCTTTTATCCAAAGTCCAATAGATACCACCACTGCAGCCTCCTCAGTGTTTCTACCTCTTCTGCTTTTAGATGTATTATAACCCCTCAGTTGTTTAGTTTGTAAAAGTCCCACACAGGTCCTGTACTTTGAGTAATCCCTTCCTTTCCAAAGCCCACCTTTAGATTTTCCAGATAAAAAAGGAGGATAATTGAATTATCCCCTCTCTGTTCCCCATCCCCTTTCAGGCCTAATTTGTTAAGCACAAGTGTTTGCCGTGGCAGGATGTGCCTATGAAAGTGTGCAGGGGGACTTTGGCATCTGAAAGGCCTATTGCAACACCCAAGCGATCATGCATTCATCAGTCGTTGAGGGTGTGAAAGGAGCGGGATTATGTTTTGTCAGACATTGCAGTGTGAGGCCCGCAGTTAGAAGGCTGTCGGGGGGGTGGTTCTATCCACAGCTAGTTGTAGCCTCCTGCTTTTGTCGTCCATTCTGAAGACCCTTTAAAGATCCCCCTCTGAGGAAGCTATAGAGAAAGCAGCTGTGAAAGGTTTTGATTCATTATATTATTCATTATCAGCTCATTAGCCTGGTCGTAACTGTTGGTTTCTATGCAGCCCTGCATTTGTCCTCATTCAAAGATTGATGCCAAAATCTGAGTTTGGGGAGCCAACATGGAATCCACTGAAAGTGACAAGTGTCATGTCAGAGTCAACTGAAAGTTGAGATAAAAGACTGAGTTACCTATTTATATGTGACATTTGTGCATCTGCCACACCTTAATTATGTAGAAATCCCCCAGAATCAAATTACAAAAACAAATCACCTAAAGGTTTTTCTTTCAATGGATTGGCTCTTCGCATTTTATAATTAAAGTCTCATCCCTTCTTCAGGATTGTATATATTCTGCTGGAATTTGTAGAATGTGCCGTTTCATACATATCATTAACAAATGGCACACATTTCTTCATCAGTATCAAATGAATTAAGTGATTGTTGTTTGTACATTGATGGCTATGTTGCTTGGAGGGAAGGTACCCTCAAAAGAATATATATATGTAGAGAGAGAGAGAAAGTCTTCCGTTTTTTAAAAAGAAAACAAGGTTGGCAGCGTTTTTAAATTTCTCCATTTTAGGTCTTCTGATTTGCGGTTTTAGTCTGGACGAAACGTAGCAAAAGGTCTGTGTTTTAGAACGAAAATGTAGTAGTGTAGATGGGGCCTTGTTTCTCAAACAAGAGGTAAAATGTCAAATATTACACCCAGGATTCTGGCTGCAGGTGTGATAGCTTTAGCCAAGGAATCATGATGTTTTTGTAAAATGGGGATAGAACTTGGACAACCAAAATTAATGATTTCAGATCTGCTTTCATTTAGCTGGAGAAACATTTGCAGCACTTTCTTTCTCACTTGCTAATAGAAATAAGAATTCATGAAATTGCCTTCTTCACTGGTTTTCAATGGGACATAAATAGCTTACACACACACACACACATTGCCACACGCAAAATGTGTGTCCATTTTGACCAAGCCCACAATGATAACTTGGTCGGTTCACAGCGACACAGTTTAGTGACAAATCAACTAGTTTACATTGTGCATCAGTGATGGAGCCATTTAAAGAAACAGTGTTTTACTTGTGTAGACATGTGAGTGATTAACCAAAGCATGATGGGAACTGTGCCAAAACGCAGATGTTTACAACAGAAATAGTAATAAAAATGTTTTTTTTCTTTTTATCAGTGCTTTTTTGACAGTATGAACATGGTCCTTATATCCCCAAACACTGCCTCTCTCCTGTCCATTCATTGAAGCAATACATGATGTGTGTTGAAATCCCGTGGACATACAAAAAACCCAAACAATTTAAAATTACATAAAGCCTTTTTTCACATAATTTGCCCGTGACCATGTATTGTGCCACTCACACCAACTGATGGTATTTGTGAGTAGGCAAGTATATCCTGAAAAGCAAACTCTATAGCACGCCTAGCTAAGACATGTAGTGACTGTCCCATAAGCCTGTATAATTCCTGTTAAGTTAACTAGAGAATATGAAAACAAAATACAACTTGATTAGTGTAGACCCAGGAGTTAAGGTTTCTATACATTTTATATTGTGTGATTTTTTTATTAGATTATTGATCTATGCACTGAGGGATTTCAAATTGTATCCAATGAAACAGGGGTCAATAAATGGTTAAGCCTGAGTTACCAACAGCTTCACAGCATTTGGAACCAGCATTTTCCCCCCCCCCCCTTTCCTCATTTTGGAGCTTTGATTTGAGGGCAGAGCTTAAAGTAATCTGTCACTCAACTAAGTAAGCCACACAACTGGGAAGGATGCTTGTAGTCACTGCAGAATACACCCTCAGTACTCGTGTGAGTGTATCAATATCAGCATTTGTGGGTGTGTGTGCACAGTTTTTTGTGTCCAGTTCTACACCTGTTCTCACTGTTTCTGTGTTGTATGAATGAATGCATATATACAATTATATTGTAATTATATTGTTTGTGTGTGTGTACACAAAAATGAAGTGCTTGGAAGCTCATCCTTCACTGATGAACACAGGAGGTGGCTGCTGGCCTGACAGCAGCAGAATGGGGACTGGCCCACGACCCTGCTCTCAGCACACGGGTCACCTCTGTCTACCATCTGCTGCCCTCCTCCCACTGTCTCTCACATACACACAGAGCCAGCGGAGGGACCGGGCCGAAGGACAGGGGTGGGGACAGGGTTGGGGGAGGCAGGGCGGCCTAGTCTTATCGGGGCCCCAAACAAAAGCCACCATTGTGCCTGTTTATATCCCACCCTATCATTTATCAAGCAATGTCAAATAATGTCACACAAAGGCATGCACTTTTAGCCTGATGTGTTCAGGGGGCCAAGCTGTGGTCAACCTCCATTTTCAGTCAGAGTCTACTTCTGCACTCACTTCCAGGAATTACTGCGCATTGGAGAGACTGGCACCAAATATGATTACACCTGAGTGGAAGTTTTCCCTTGAAGTACAAGAGCCTGCACTTAGCGGCAAAAGGGGTCTGTAAGCAGAGGCCCCTAAATGAATGACAGATGTTTTTGGCTAAAACCTTGACATATATTTCTTTTTGATTATTTAATATTTTATCTTTTGTCACTAACAGCACCCGTACCCCTCAGAGGAACAGAAAAAGCAGCTAGCACAAGACACAGGACTCACCATCCTTCAAGTGAACAACTGGTAAGTTACTCTAAAAACAGATCTGTGCATCAACACCTGAGTGCTTTCAGATCCACACACATCTTTGCTTCTGAAAAGCTTTTTATAAATACATTTGACTTGACTTTAGAGTGCATATTCTGTCTTAATCACAGTCTTGGCTATGACTCAGATGAGAGTTGTAATTTAACCAAAAGAGGACACACAAATGTCATACACACATGCTGCTCATAATTATCAAATGTAGCCTTTTCTTCAGGTATTCCAGGTGTTTGTGTTAGTACATCTAAAGTTACAGTTTACTTTAAATACTTTCATCGGCAGTAGTCCCTAGACTATGGACATACTGAAAAAATAACCTTTTTCCCCCCCTAGGAAGATTCCTGAAAAGAAGTTTGTAATTTTGTGCTAGTTACAGAGTTTTCATTAGAGTTGAGTTTAGTAGTATTAATGCTTACCTTACCTGAAAATAACAATATATGGCATTCCTGCCTGAGATGTAGAGACTGAATAAAAGGGAACAATCCCTGGGTCATGGGTTTAAAGAGGAGATATCCCACCTCTCCCTCACAGCCTTATTTTAGCGTTATACGTATAAATGATTAAAGCAGGCTTCGCTGCCTTTGTAGACTACTTACTTAGAAGCAGGTCCAATCAAATAATCAACCATTCTGAGTTTAGTTTCTGTATGTCAGCCTGTGCAGGGTTCAAGTATGGAGATGGCAAGAGAGACGTTACTTTGTTGCTCTAATATTGCTCTAAAATCCCCCCCAAAGAGTTTGCTTTAAAGTGTGTCGGGTTTCCAACAGACTTAATGGTGGCCGCCCATCTCTAATCCACAAGTAAATATGATCACAGGCTTTAGACAAGGCTCTATCCAATACAGATATCAAAGCATGACAGCTCACCATACTGGTTATTTGCTGGATGTATCAATGGCAAAACATTGGCAAAGCAGTTAGCCTCATCACAGCCTGAGGCTACTGGGCTAAACCCAAATCAATAGATTGTTTAAGCTATGTGACTTTCTCCGAATGCACCACATTATGTCAATAGGAATAAACTAGATTATTAGCCAAATCCCTGGAGACACAGAGTTCAGTTCCAGTTCTTTCAAAGCTTCCCAATAAAATTGGCAGTTTTGGTAAATGCTGGATATTTTAGATGAACGATCTTTAAATTATTATCAGTATACCAGTGAGGGAATCAACGACTTCACATAATATTGTTCTTTTTTTCAGGTTTATAAATGCAAGGAGGAGAATAGTCCAACCTATGATTGACCAGTCCAACAGAGCAGGTAAAGCTGCAGCCTATTCAGTATTCAGTGTGCTAAATACTTCCTTCCATTCAGTTGAATGATCAAACTGTGTCTTAATGATATCACTTGCTGAAGCCACTGCAGCTACAGACAGAGTGGAGGAGACGAGTTAAAGACAGTATGAACAGTGAGACCTAAGACCTTTGGACTCTGCACTGCATGAAGGAGGTGCAGAGTGAAGAGGGGGCTGACCGTCTTGTTTCTCCTCTCTTCTTACAGTGAGTCAGGGTACAACTTACAGTCCAGATGGTCAGCCAATGGGAGGCTTTGTTCTTGATGGGCAGCAGCACATGGGTCTCCGACCTGGAGGTGAGCAATCTCTCAAACATTTATGAAACCATCATTATGGTTATTATTATCAAAATCTTTATGATCATTTTGTGCTTGTGGCCAGCAGAGCTTCTAACAATTGAAAACAAAACACTATAACTAAGGGATGGTTCAGGACTGACCTGAGCCAGCTCTATAAGCTTTATCAAAGAGGAAAGTCTTAAGCCTACTCTTAAATGTGGAGATGGTGTCTGCCTCCTGAACTCAAACTGGAACCTGGTTCCACAGGAGAGGAGCTGAATGCTCTGGCTCCCATTCTACTTTTGGAGAGTCTAGGAATTCTGGACTTTACAGGAAGCCAATGCAGAGAAGCTAAGACAGGAGAAATATGATCTCTTTTCCTGGTTCAGAACATGTGCTGCAGCATTCTGGATAAGCTGAAGTCTTAATGGACTTTTTCGAGCAGAAAAAGTCTGCTCTAATCTAGCCACAAGAAGTTATCCATGTAAGTCAGTTAGCATAGCTTGACAGTCCACATTTAAACCAAGCAACTGTAGACTAACCATGTTCTGTCCAGTTAGTACAGTTGTTAGGAGCTTGTTGGTGTGATTACTCTGGCTGGTAAAAGCTTTATGGATGTTGTGATGGTCCACCCTGGACTGATGCTAGATGGCAGGCACACTGTTACTAAAATCAGTGACCTCTTACCAGACTTTGTGCCTCCATTTCAAAGTTTCACAGGGTTAAAAGTGACCCTTTTCAGGATGATAATATGTTGGGATAACGTCTTCATACTACTTGTCTCTATAGCAGGTTCCAGTTTGACATACACACACAAAGAACATACTTACGTTACTTTTGCTGCCCAGTAGCTGAAAATGGTAATGGTTTCTGTAAAAACTCATCTTCTGTGAGTTCATTGTGAGTGGTCCATCATCTTGTTGGTCTTGTTACTCTTCATTTTTGGGGTGGTGATGGCACAGTGGATAAAAGTGGTCGCTTTGGATAAAAAGCGTCAGCTAAACGAATAATGTAATGTAATGTTCATTTCAGGGCCAATGGGTGGCGTGGGTATGAACATGGGCATGGACGGGCAATGGCACTACATGTAAACCCGCTACCCTGAAGCGAGCTGGAAAACAAGGTGAAGTAATTTGTTGTTTCCCTTTTTGTCTCTCTTCATTTAACAGAGTCAGTTTCACTAGTCCCCACTCACTTGTCCTCTACAGCCTTTTCTCATATTTCCCTTCCTTACCAATCTAATCTAGACCGGGAAACACTACACTGCGACCTGGATGTTTGCTGGAGTGATTTTCATGTTTAAGCAAGAAACATACGTCTATGACTATAACTGAATACAGGCATGTAGATGTGTTCAGGGCGTGACTGCTATCAAGCATGTAAAGTTTGATGCCGATGTGAGCATGTAGACTGAAGTTACAACAACTTCCTCATTCATGTTGAATCATCGATTTTGGCTGCCACGCCACGGGGACACTGTTTTCACAAAAACACCCCGTTTTTAATAATCAGTGGGATTAGACTGGACAGCAATCATCCAAAAATTACCATAAAATTCAAAATGGCTTATTTCCTGTTGGGTGTAGGGCATCACTCCAAGAGGCTATTTGCTACATCTGGACATGATACATGTGCCACAGAAATTTTGTGTGTAAAAAAATATATATATATATATATATATATATATATATATATATAAATAAATTAATAAAATCCCCCTCTCACCCCTTGCGGGGTGGTATGTGTCATCCTCAAGCTCAGGTCCTCTACCAGAGGCCTGGGAGTTTGAGGGTTCTGCGCAGTATCTTAGCTGTTCCTAGGACTGCACTCTTCTGGACAGAGACCTCTGATGTTTTACCTGGAATCTGCTGTAGCCACTCTCCCAGTTTGGGGGTCACAGCTCCCAGTGCTCCGATTACCACTGGCACCACTGTTGCTCTTATGTTCCACATCTTTTCTAGCTCCTCTTTCAGCCCTTGGTATTTCTCATGCTTCTCGTGTTCCTTCTTCTTGATGTTGCTGTCGCTTAGGATTGCCACATCTATCACTACTGCCTTCTTTTGCTGTTTGTCGATCAACACGATGTCTGGTTGGTTAGCCATCACCAGTTTGTCAGTCTGGAAGTCCCACAGATTCTTAGCTCGGTCATTCTCAACTACCTTAGGAGGTCTCTTCCATTTTGACCTTGGGACTTCAGGCCATACTCATGGCAGATGTTCCTGTACACTATGACAGCTACCTGGTTATGGCGTTCCATGTACACACTTCCTGCCTGCATCTTACACCCTACTGTTATATGCTGTACTGTCTCAGTGGCATCCTTGCACAGTCTGCACCTGGGGTCCTGCCTGGTGTGGTAGACCCCAGCCGCTATTGATCTTGTACTGATTGCCTGTTCTTGTGCCGCCATGATTAGTGCTTCTGTGCTGTCCTTCAGTCCACCCTTTTCCAGCCACTGGTAGGATTTCTTGATATCAGCCACTTCTTCTATTTGTCTGTGGTACATGCCGTGCAACGGCTTGTCTCTCCATGAAGATTCTTCATCTTCCTTGTCCTCACCTTTGGGTTTCTGTTGCCCGAGGTATTCACTAAGCCCTTCATCTTTGGGAGCCATCTTCCTGATGTACTCCCAGATCTTCGTCGTTTCATCCTGGACAGTGGTCTTGACACTCGGCCTCCCTCGCTACGCTTGGTGTACATTCTCAGGGTGCTGGATTTGGGGTGAAACCCTCCAAGCATTGTAAGGAGCTTTCTCGTCTTGATGTCAGTAGTCTCTATCTCCTCCTTGGCCAGTTTGTTATACCAGCGGGGTATCTGATGACTGGCAGGGCATATGTGTTGATGGCTCGGATCTTGTTTTCCCCCATTCAGCTGACTTTTCAGGACCTGCCTCACTCTCTGTAGGTATTTGGCTGTGGCGGACTTCCTTGCTGCCTCCTCATGGTTTCCGTTAGCCCACGGCACCCCAAGGTATTTGTAGCTGTCCTGAACATCTGCAATGTGGCCTTCTGGTAGTTCAGTCCCCTCGGTTCTGATCATCTTCCCTCTTTTTGATACTATGCGACCACACTTGTCCAGTCCGAACGACATTCCAATGTCGTTGCTGTAGATCAGTGGATCAGTGAGTCAATGTCTTGCTCATTTCTGGCATACAGCTTGATGTCATCCATGTAGAGGAAGTGACTGATGGTTGTTCCACTTCGGAACCGGTATCTGTAGCCAGTCTTTGTGATGATCTGGCTGAGGGGGTTCAGGCCTATGCAGAACAGCAGTGAGGATAGTGCATCGCCTTGGTATATGCCGCACTTGATGGTGACTTGTGCAATTGGCTTTGAGTTGGCTTCCAGACTTGTTTTCCACAGCCCCATTGAGTTCTTGATGAAGGCTATTAGTGTCCTGTTGATCTTGTACATTTCCAAGCATTCCAGTATCCATGTATGGCATTGAGTCGTAGGCTTTCTTGTAGTCAATCCAGGCAGTGCGAAGATTTAAACGTGTAAAATTTGGTACAGGTCTGAGCATGTACAGTCCAGTTACAACAAATTCGCCACCACACCACCGTCACACCGTCACACCGTCACACCGTCACACCGTTAACTGCAAACTCACAAGTTTTACGACATGGCTTCATCAGTGTGTTCAGGGTTTTCTGGGACAGTTTTGAAGTTGATATGTCCAACCTGCTTGGAGTAGTACATTACAACATAAAAAATGTCACTTCCTGTTGCCAGCAGGCGATGCTGTGACTTTGAGTGAATATTGGCATATGGATGTGTTCAGGGTGGGACTCTTGTAGCACATTCCAAATTTGGTGCAGATTTGAGCATGTAGACTTAAGTTACAACAACTTCCTGTTTTATTGTGAATCATCATACAGTAACTTCCTGTTTTATGGTGAATCATCGATTTTGGATGCCACACCATGGGCACACTGTTCCACGAAAACTCACCATTTGTACAGTTTTTAATTGTCAATGGGTTTAGACCACGCAGCACAAATCTGAAGTTGATTAGACTAATTCTCTAGGAGTAGTTTGTTTAAGTACCGAGTGTGTAATTCCATAAATTTCAAAATGGCTGACTTCCAGTTGGGTGTAGGGCATTGCTCTAAGAGGCTTTTTGGCACGCCTGGACATGATACGTGTGCTACAGAACTTTTGTACACGTAGGTGAAACTTCGTCTGGGGGCTGCTCTGTAGGGGATGCTAGTGAACCATCTTGCCACAAATGCGCAAAACCCATAGAATAAAATTTTTTCACCCAGCCTGAATTATGTGCAAAGTTTGGTGAGTTTTCGAGTATGTTTAGGCCCCCAAAATTGAGGTTACTTTGCAGAAAAAAGTTATTCCTTCAGTTTCAATAGGGACCTCTCATGTTTCATGCTCAGGCCCTAATTATAGTTTATTACCAAATTTGACACAGATAATAACAGTCCCGCCGTGAACACACCCATATGCCAACATTCACTTAAAAGCATAGCACCACCTGCTGGCAACAGGAAATTACATGTTTTACGCTATGATGGACTACTCCTAGCAGGTTGGCCATGTCAACTTTAAAGCCGTCCCAGAACCTGAACCCTGAACACATCTACATGCTAACATTCACCCATAGTCATAGCGCCACCTGCTGGCAACAGAAAATGACCTTTACGAAGCAGTACCCACGGCACGTTTCACCTACATGTATGAAATTTCTGTGGCACGTGTCATGTCCAGATGTACCAAAAAGCCTCTTGGAGCGATGCCCTAAACCAAACAGGAAATTGGTTCATTTGAAATTTATGATCATTTCAGGATGAGTTAGAAACTCCGTACTTTAACAAACTCCTCCTAGAGAAGTAGTACGATTGACTTCAGACTTTCGATGTCTACTCAAAACCCACTGACGATTAAAAGTTGTACAAACTGAGTTTTTGTGGAACGGTGTGCCGGTGGTGTGTCATTTCATAAGAGCCACAATATATCTACCTGCCAATATTCAGTTATAGCTCCAAGTGCGATGTAGCGCCACAAAGGAACAGTAAGGGATGTTTAACACCTTTGTGCAGTGTCTGAAGTGTGGTAAATTCACAGCCACACCGGCAGAGCTCCAGAATCTGCAACAGGGCCGCCTTACACCTCTACGCTATGCAGCTTTAATTTTCCTTGAAAAGTCCCACATCGATGACACTCCGTCTGTGATAAAACATGCAAAAGCACCACAAATAAAGTTCAAGGCACAGGACATTTTGAGAAAATATACAAACAAATATAATTTTGGAATAAAGGTAAAATTATGCTACGTGGTCTATAGAATTATTTTATTGTCAGCTGGGTCTGACTAAATAAATTCAGTGTGTAGGAAACACAATCCGCTCCATTCCCCTCTTCCTCCATTTCTTCGCTCCCACAAATCTGATTAAGAATCGGGGTAATACTCCTCCTCCTCCTCCAACCTCTATGAGTCCCCACCACTGCTGACAGTTCTCAAATCAAGACGTATCGCCTGCCGGAGGCACCCGAGCACAGAGAATTTTATTTAACACCCACTCTCCACTGCTCAATGAGCCACGCTGTAATGACACTTACCTTGATTAATAGAGCTCTTTATATGTAAATAGGAGCTGCATTTGATCCATTTTCTACACCAAAGCCAATTTTCGCCAACACAGCCCTATCTTCCCTGTCTGATAATTACCATGGCTTTGCTAATGAAGTTCAAAGAGCAGATAGTGATCTTCATCTATAAAAACTACAAAAAGACATCCAGATCTGCATAGACATATCAGCTCTCAACCTGAATAAATTCTGCCTATATATTTTAGGAAAGCATTAAATCAAAATTATTTCTCAATGAATGACCATTGGCTGGTTACAATAATAGCTCAGTAGAGCCGTCTGTTTTTGCTTCCACTAATTTGATCTGTGGCGAGAGCGTATGCTGACAGAGGCAGTAAATCTCCCCAGGAGTCATGTGAGGGGTTTCCATGCACGATAAAGTCTAAGCTATAACATTTAATTACAATGAATCTGCACTATTTTACTCTCCTCTCTGATGCACAATACACCATATGCTTTATTATTTACTGCACATCTCGTTTCCATGTTTGCAAGAGAATATCTGGAAGAGCTCATGTCTGAGAAAAAGTCATCATTCAAAGACCTAGACAAATGGACTAAAGTGACAACTGCAAGCAAACAGGACTATAGACTAGACAGGATTTAAGACTAAGGGGTGGTTGCAAGCTTTAGTAAATGTAATAGGAGGAGTACTAAATTTCAATAGAATTCAATTCAAACAGAAATTTTTGGTGTCATAAGTGACACTAAAGACTCACATGCATATCCAACACAAATATGGCTGTGAATCATCTTGCTTATCTAGATGCCATAGATGGTCTCTTTAGAAGTGCAATTCATACAGTTACAAAAATATTCAGGAGGGAAATTCTGTGGATGGCGTGAGATGTGTGATTTGGAGAGGTGGAAGTGAATCCTGTTTATGTCTGTATTGTAAAAGATATGAAGTGTGTCTGCTTTTCATTAAATATTCTGATACAGACAATAAAAAATCCAAATTGGGTTAAAATACTTTTAACCCAACTTTCTAGCATGAGCTTTCAACAGAATATGATTTAGTGATTTTAGGGTGGTGGGAGAGCAGGCCTGGACTCTGTGTCCTAACCCTCTGATCTCTGTCCCAGGCCTCCATGGTTGGCTCAGGGATCTTCTTCCACCTGGCTGTGGCGCTCAGCATGGAGCTGCCTCTGCCCCCGCATCAAACCCACCTGACTGTCAAACTCACCTGATCACTCCTGCCTCACCTTGCTGGAGCCCGCACGGAGCGCGATGTAGATGATCACCATGGAAACGCCCAATCTTTGGACCAGAGGCCGCCTTCAAACTTTGACTGTAAAGTGAACATAGACTCAGTGTGGTCGAGGAGCGTGGCGGCTGCGCGGACTTCACAGCGAACAGAAGCAGTTTGACACAGTTCCTCTATTTCCTTTTAAATTATTTATTTATTTTTCTACAACGGCGAACCACGGAAAAGACGACTTCTCTTTGTTTTTTTTTAAGTAGGCTAAAGCTTTAGCCTTCCCCTAAACAAAAAAAATAAAATAAAACACAGAGTGAAACTGTACAAAGAAACACCCCCTCCTTTAAAGATAAAGGACAAAAACTGGAATATCTTTAAATCTGAGACTCGCCGAGAACTGTAGCCTAGCCTAATTGTTGTGCTGTGTAAATATGTGCTCTTTATTTGGCTGGTCGTCTCCATGTATGCGCTTGCGATCACTAGACTAGATGTTACAGTGAGCTTTTACCACTGATGTGTTCTTTTTAAATCACAACTAAAACCAAACTTTTTTAAGAAAACCCTCTGAATGTTTGTTTTTGTTTATTTCTGCACTCCATCCCTGTCTTCTTTACTTGTGTTTTTAGACAGGGGCTGAAACTACTTGCTGAGGGAAGGTGACTTGATGGATTGAGTTAAATTTTTTGACAATATTTCAAATCATTTTATAGCACCAAAGCAGAGAGGAGGTCTGAATTAAACGCAAAATAAAGATGGAGGAAGATAGACAATGCTCAGCAGAGTGTTTCATGTGAGGAGAAGATCGGCAGACTCATGTTGAAAATCCGCAAGAGAAAGGTCAGTGTAGGCGTGGGAGAAAGTGCTTTAAGCAACATGAGTTGGTGCAGCAGGTCACGTAGTCAGGTCTGGTTCGATATGAGACGGGATTGCAGTTGTCTCGCGTTATTCGATTGATGGTGACAGGGATGATGGATGGCCCGGCCGCGAAATTCAAGAAAAGCAGAGCGAATTAAGCGGAGGCTGCTTTACTAAACCACAGAGCCTGAGAGAGTGAGTGAGTGTGTGTGAAGAGAGCAAAAGCTGTTGAGACATGAAAACAGAAAGTGGTGGCTGAGACAGTTTACTAAAAATGAAAACGTTCATTCGTCTTTAATGAACCACTTGTCATTTTTAATAGGAGTAGACCTCAACATCGGCATCCCAGGATAAAATAAATACGGTACAAAAACCACAAATAAATAAATGTTAATTTATCACTGTCAGCTTGCAACGATTCTCCGCGGTTTGACCGATCAAGGCCCGAATGCTTTGTGATTACTGACAAATATTCATTTTAATCTCCAACAATCCACCACCATTATTACGCGCGGATAATTTCGATTCATAACACAATAATTATTATTATTATTATTATAGCTAACCAGCCGTGTATTTAGTTGACTCGGCAGCTGGCTTTTACAAAGGATGAATCTGTCCGATGAAGGGCTCTTGTTTTCGGGAAGGTGCTGTCACACTGTCCGCAAATAAAAAAACATTTTAAGCCATATTTTAGTCTGTCCCTTCCGGTTAAGACGGAATCGCTGCTTTAAATAGACTTCTTGCTGAATGGACTTCTTTTCGGGCACGGGTGTGACCGTGTGTCTGAAGCCTGTTTTAAAACCTTCCCGCTCTGGCTCTTAACGTGGTAAAATCTAAACATGAAAAATAAAATAAAAAAAACATTTTCCGACCTATATTTCCAGTGGAAAAAATACAACACATAAACTCTAATGCCATACAGTCTGGCGGCATACTGACCAGTAAATCCGCTTTAATCTCAGCAAATTAACATTTATTGCAGGGGTCTATTTCCACTTAATAATCAGATGGTGAAAATGGCAGAAGTCTGCAGTTTCCACACAATGAGATAATATGGGCCCAGGTCTAACCTTTATGGGTAGAAAGCGTAGGCCTATCCGTTAGTGCGTAGAACGAATGTGTTTTCATCTTCTTCTGAGGGAAATGATCGAATATTCCGCATCTGGCAGGAGAAATAGCAGTGAAAAGACAAATACAGAGTAAAAATCATCCTCTCATGCAGTGCATATGAGCGCAGCTCTAACAGGCCTAATTCATTCATTCCTGCCGACTGTGCTGAAGATAAATGTGTTTTGAAGGCTGCCGGAAACAAGCGCATATCTTTATGAAATATGGGTCAGAGCTCCTGCAGAAAGCTGCATCACATGATCTACAAACTGTTTTTTTACTCAGAATCCCGCTTAACAGCAAGGCATAAGCTACAGTAGGCTTCGTACTATCGAAGAGAATAACACAATTCAAAAGCTAATATAATGAAATAAAACCCTTTTAAATACATTAGACTGATGGCATCATATTATAGGTACTCTGTAAAACCAACTTGGCTTGAAATAAGGTCACAATAAACTTTAAAAAAAAATGTGATAATGCATTGTTTTATAGAAAGGCCAAAAATAGGAAGTAAAAAACATGCATATAATTAAAAAACAGATTCACTATAAATTCAGTACACTCTTAAATCATAAGGGTCATGCCCAAAATATTTGGAATATTATAGAATTATTAAAATATAGTAATGTTACTATATTATTATTGTTCTATAATATTATATATATAGATGTATAATATCACTATTGAATTCCATTGCCAAGTCTATGTTGATATTATATGAACATTACACATATACTATAAGAAGAACTACACCCAAAGACTAGGGTCTGGTATACAGATAGCATTAAAAAGGGACACAATGTATTTCAAGAGAGTTCCTTTCACTCCAGGTATATGGTGATATTAGAATTATTAGATATACCATAAAAAGATCTGTCATTATAGAAATACATGTCTCTGAGTGGCAAACATTCAAAGGCGAATATTGTAAGAATATTATAGTGTTCCATATGGTCAAGTAACAGAAATGAACGTTATACATAAACCTGGGTCTTACAGTCATAGATTTCTGTCAGTAATAAAAATACAAATTAGTGACACCACTTGATCTGAAGGTCAAACTGAAAGTGAGTGCACCTGAAATTTCACTAATAATCCCTCATGGTACAGGGAAATTGTGTAAGCACACTACAGTAAGTATAGACTAGAAGTTTTGGTTACAATTTTTCTGTCTTACACTAAGGTCATTTCATCTAGGTTCTTCATTTAATTGGCTGTTTCCAGTACACACTAAATATGTTTAAATTTAAGCTTCTTTTATAAGCCACACAATAAATGCACAAATGATTATTTCCCAGTGTTGAAACTAAAACATAGGCTACATCTAGGAATTTTATTTTATTTTTTATTTTTTTACAGAGACTACAAAAGAACATAAATATGAAAAGGCTGGTGGCCTCCTGCTGGCACTGACTATGTCATTACAATGTCTGGATTCTATTTATCTACTGTCATGTCTTACTGGGACACCTGAATAGAATGCAGAATTCTTAATTCTATTAGCAACACATGAAAAGTCAAAATGTGTGCTGGGGCCTGTGGACACTTCTTTCTGCTGGTAATCTCATAATGCAATGCAAATTTTATACCACTGTGTGAATCCACACGTCCACAATGATAAACTCACTATCACTGAGTCTCTTATATAGGAAGTAGTGAATTAGGGAGGGATTTTTGACACTGTCTATAAACACTGCAATTCTCTTGTAAAATATCCACCAATATATATCTACTTCTTTTCAGTGTTGTCATAATGTTCCCACTTCTCCACTACTAACACTATTGAGTAAAATGTTAATGAACAATGACCAAAACTATGTGAACTGGACCCCAGTAGTAAGAGGAATGATCCTGAACATGCACTTGCACCTTTGCTCACAAAAGCCCTTTCCTTTTTTTGGTATTTTTTGTAAAGGCCCTTTTGTGAATGCCTACTTAATTTTACTAATACTAACTATTAGTAAAATTAATGAATATAATTTTGCCGTAAATAAAATTACCCACATGACGACCTTTCAAGTGATAAACTCATCCGAGATGAGCCATCACACTCAGACACCTTGATGTCTGAAGGCCTAGTGATTCAGCAGCATTGTCTACACAACACTCTCAATAGCACCGGTATGTTGGGTATGCAGCTTTGTTCTTTTTGTTGGAAATATTTTACAAGAAACTTGTGAAGAGAGACTGCGCAGTTTATATTGCTGTGTGTAGCCTATACAAGTAACGTTAGACGGCAACATTATTTCTACCCACAGCTATATAAACAAATGCTCTGTTCACTTTGTTCTCGCTGTCTGAGGGAGAAAAGTTTCACAGGCGTTCTTTATATATATATTATTTCTTTCTGTTCTTTATAATGTAATTTCAATAAAACTATTCACTTTGAACTATTATTATTCCAGTAGTTAATAAAAAAAAAAAAAACGTATTGTTCCATAACAATAAATATAGCAACATTGGTAAAAAGGGGTGTTACATACCTATGAATTATACTTGTCAGCCCTTTTTAGGGCTTGAGCGTGAACTATGCAAGGACCCTATTGAAATTGCTAGGATTATTAGGGCCCGAGCATGAAACATGTGAGGTCCTTCATAGTTTTCAATCACGTGACATGCGCGGTGACCTGGAGGGCAAAACAACAGATCAACATAGCAGCTCACACTGTGATTCCCCCCCGTAGAGACGCCACAAAAGCACCTCTCAACTTAAGAAAAAGAAAGATATGAACATTACAGCATCCACTGCCACATTTCTACCATTAAAAACCTCCCACTGCGGTAATGTTTATTTTTACCTTCTGGGGAAATCCCTCACCTAATACAGCCCAGGTTTGTCTTCTCCTCAATTAGTGCATACAAAAGCACAACAACCATCCAGCATTTTCTTTACATAGTTGAATGTGCTGACAACAAAATCACACAAAAATTATCAATGGAAATCAGATTCTCAAACCATGGAAGTCTGGATTTGGAGTCACCACTCAAAAGACCTGTGGAAGTCGGGCCCTCATACCACCCTCATGGAGTCTGTTTCTGACCGTTTGAGCAGACACATGCACATTTGTGACCTGCTGGAGGTCATTTTGCAGGGCTCTGGCAGTGCTCCTCCTGCTCCTCCTTGCACAAAGTCGGAGGTAGCGGTCCTGCTGCTGGGTTGTTGCCCTCCTACGGCCTCCTCCACGTCTCCTGATGTACTGGCCTGTCTCCTGGTAGCGCCTCCATGCTCTGGACACTACGCTGACAGACACAGCAAACCTTCTTGCCACAGCTCGCATTGATGTGCGATCCTGGATGAGCTGCACTACCTGAACCACTTGTGTGGGTTGTAGACTCTGTCTCATGCTACCACTAGAGTGAAAGCACCGCCAGCATTCAAAAGTGACCAAAACATCAGCCAGGAAGCATAGGAACTGAGAAGTGGTCTGTGGTCACCACCTGCAGAACCACACCTTTATTGGGGGTGTCTTGCTAATTGCCTATAATTTCTACCTGTTGTCTATTCCATTTGCACAACAGCATGTGGAATTGATAGTCAATCAAGTGGACAGGAGTGTGATTGACTAGGAGTTACATTGTGTTGTTTAAAGTATTCCCTTCCTTTTTGTGAGCAGTGTATTAGCATGAAACATGCAAGGTCCCTATTAGAACTGAAGGAATTATATTTAAGGCCCGAGAATAAAACATGCAAGGACCTTATT